TGATGTGGGTAGTATCACTCGCATTTTGTCCATTTTGCAGGTGAAGACACCTGGGGTCATGTGACCTGCCCAAGGTCACAGTCAATGCCTGGAGCTGGTGTCTGACCTCAACTCTGAATCCAGAGCCTGAGCTACAATACACAGTCTGACATACTCTTTAGATGACGGGCAACTTGTTTAAAAGAAAGAAGTCGGGCTGAAAACTGTTGGTGCAGCTATTTTTCTTATTAAAAGGTAGAGGACTGAGCCTTCGGTTGGAATGACCAATTCAGAACTAAGACATCTTCTGACTTTGAAAGTAAACATGAGAACAGAGACAGCTAATGAAAAAACTAAAAGAGGTAACTGAGAAAATGCCTATTACAGTTAAAAACAAATAGGTAGGAAAGCAGGTAAACAAAAACAAAATTCTTACCATGGAAACCAAAAACTGGATGTTATTAACAGAGGGAAAAAGTGGTGAATGAGGCAGGTGACTGCTGTTCTAAAAACATTGAATGCCATCAGCTTAGGAGGGATTGGAGGAAATGGACAAAATGATCAGCAAGAGGTTACCTGCCCACATATTCTTTCATTTTCTTGACCTTCTCGTTTCCCATTTTCTGTTCCTCCCACCTCAGTTGCCTATTTAGATTTGAAAAACAGCTACTCCTATCATTTCCTATATTACTGCCTCAAGTTTAATTTCAAGGACTTGACGCTCTACCACTCTCCTATTTTGCACATCACTTCCTTAAACAAATCCACATCAAAAGTTCCTTAACCCTGTCAGGATCTCCAATTTTCATTGGGGTTACACGTCTTGTATTCATGGCTCATTGCTACCTGCCACTCCAGGGCACTTCATCTGTGCCTTTGCTCATCTCTCTTACACTCCCTGGTAGAACCCAACTCTGACTATATACCCAACTCTCCAGCTGAAGATGGCTGGAAGAAAAAAGGGTTAGTGCTGAGTAATCTCACTTGAAATTTACTTTGACAAAACCGTGGGACCACCCTACTATACTTCCCTGGTTAACTGTTTTCTGGGTCTCTGAGCTGATTATTATTTCCTTCCTCTCAAAGCTTCTAAAGGCTCCCATTTTGCTAAATTTAATGGTTAGTTCCCAGTGCTTATCTAACTCAATCACTAAGCATTTGCCACAACTGCCCATTCTTCTTTGAAACTCTATCGTCATTTGGCTGCAGGGATACCACATGCTCTGCTGTCTTTCTATCTGCTACTCCTTTCTGCCTCCTCTAGACCCCAGTGCTGGAATGCTCCAGGGCTCAGTCCTCAGATCTCCTCTCTTAATCCAGACTCTAGGTTAGGGTTTCTCAACCTTGGCACTCTGGATGTTTTTGCTGGACAATGCTTTGTTGGGGGGCTGTCCTGGGCATTGTAGGATGTTTATCAGCATCTCTGTCCTCTGTTCACTAGACACTAGTAGCACCTACCCCTTCCCCAAGCTGTGACAATAAAAATTGTATCCAAACATTGTCAAATGTCCCTGGGCGGGTGGGGGGATCACCCTTGGTTGAGATGTAGGTGAATTCAGCTAGCCCCATGACTTCAAATGCCACCTAGGAGCTGATAAGCCCCAAATATATATTACACCCCAAGCCAGACCCTGCCCCAAACTCTGGACTTGTATATTCAAATGTCTTCTCTATTGCTTTATTTGGAGGTAGTGTTTGTATTTGCTTATTTATTCCCTGCCTCCCCAATAGGATGTAATCTCCAAGCAGGCAAGGATTTACTTATTCAATATTTACCCCCAGTGCCTAGAACAGGGTGGGCCATGTAGTAGGTGCTCAAAATATATTTGCTGCTTAAAGAATTAAACGTCTAACATATATTAACTCATTTCACACAGTTAATCAATGATGGGACAATTGGGCAGATCATTTTTAAACACATCAAGTCATCTTTTAAAGACATATTTTCTTTAATTTAAGATAAAAGGAATACATTATTTTGAAATAAATATGTAAATAGTACTAATACTATCCATTAAATTTTAGATAAAATTTTGCTATAGTCTTGAAAATAACAAAACTAGTTCTTATTCTTTCAATACTTTTGTTTTACTCTGTATTCTTATGCTTCATTTCAATTTGCACTTTTAACTATATATGAATATATGTGCATAAATATATATTTCTTTATTTCAAATAATAATTGTGCCTTTTGATTATCATGATGCCAGTTAGCTGCCAATTCTTTTTTTTTTTTTTTTTTTTTTTTTTTTTTTTTTTTGAAGTCGGCGGGCCTCTAACTGCTGTGGCCTCTCCCGTTGGCGGAGCACAGGCTCCGGACGCGCAGGCTCAGCGGCCATGGCTCACAGGCCTAGCCATTCCGCGGCATGTAGGATCCTCCCGGACCGGGGCACGAACCCGTGTCCCCTGCATTGGCAGGCGGACTCTCAACCACTGTGCCACCAGGGAAGCCCTGCCAATTCTTAACTGTAAGTCATTACTATAGTTGTTTAGCCTCTTGGTCTAATTTACACTGTATCTGAAGCAGAGAGAAGAGGCTGAATTTTCCAAGGAGGTTTGAATTCTCCTATCTTGTAAAAAATTGCTTCCTGGATAATAGCTATATTTATATAATATTTCATATTACATTATATTTAATAATATTTGTAACAGCTATAGTTATGAATAGGTTGTACTGTTTTTCATTTTTTCTCTCCCTCTCCAGGAGAAGTAATAACCAAGCATAGCACTTCCTTGCCCCCAATTAGGTCTCACATTAAGCTCTGCATATATGTTCATGTACATTATAATCAATTTTTGAAGAAGACCATAGCATCCAACATTTTCTTTTAAAATCCAGGCAGTATCCAGGCACCCTTCCCCCCAAATCTCCTCGGTTTATTTATTTACGTGGGTGTTTACTCACTAAGCACACAGACTTTTGTGTATATCTCTTTGTAAATTTCCTGAGGTTCCTTTATCCAGTCTTCTTGGAACAGCATTGAAAGAGACTTAAGTGATGACATCTTACAACTTTATGAATGATAGACTAGAGGTATTAAATATTTATGTATGCATAGCACAGAACTCAACCCAAATCCAACCAGCTCTATGGATGCTATAAGCTTCTACCCCATACACTTATCTGTAATATCCACAATTACACTGACATATTTTAACAAGTGTTCAGATTGAAAGGATTTTCTCTTTGGCCTCATTTCAGTGGGGAGTCCAACTGACTTTTTTTTTTGCTTTTTAAAAAAATTGTGGTAAAATATACATAACATGAAATTTACCATCTTAACCGTTTTTAAGTATACAGGTCAGTAGTGTTAAGTACATTCACACTGTTGTGCTAAACTTTTAAATGATATCTCTATTATATACGTTTGAAGCAATATAGCCAATCATGGTATTCTGTGGGAAAAAAAAAAACCCTATCAAAATGTATTAGTTTCAGTATTATTTTTTCATTCATTGCTGGTTCAATATAAATTCACAAACAGCTCTTAGAGGCATCTTTTAAAAATCTTTCATGTAAACAATATGCCACCAAAGACTGAATATTAGATTTTAATACTTGAGGAAATTTAAAAAATCATAAAAAAATTTTATGCTAGATTTCTCATCATTTATCAGCAAACGAAATGTATCAGAAGAGAGTTTTGCAGTATTAACTTTGCTTTCTAAACAAAATTTTTTTCATTTAGTTAATTCTAAATGTAAGTTTTAAGGAGAGATTTAAATCAAATCAAGACACTAATGAAATAGGATTTGATTAACTTCTTGCCAACGAATCTTGGAAAGTTTAAAAATGAACACTTTCTCACAAATCTTCAATGTAAACAAATAGAAGCTGCCTTGAGGACTCACAGCCCGGGCCACTGAAGGAGTTAAACATTGTAAATATTCTGAACATAAGCATAATTTGGTGAGTAAAGAACTTTACTAAATACAACATCATTTTAATAATAAAACTAAAGGAAGCAGATTATGGCAGCTGTGTTTTAGAACTGGGGGAAAGAATGACTTAGCTAATTCAATGGGCCACTTCTCCACTAAGGAAGCTGTCTTGGGCATCTCCCCGCTTCCTGGGAGTGTGGGTGGAGTGACCCACCTGTAAAGACACTTGCGTTCTTGGGCCAAGATACCATGTAGTCTGTTTTTCACACAGGGTGGATTTCCAAGAAACCGGCATCTGCTCCCTAAATCTTGAAATATTCAGAGAACAGTGACTCAGTTGGACTTCCTGCTGAAATGAG